GTCTCTATGATTTGCCTATTCTGGACATTTCATATAATATAAGTGGAATTGTACAATATGTGTTTGTTTGAATCTGACTTCTTTCACTTAGCATAATGTTTTCAAGACTCATCTGGTTGTAGCATTTACAAGTACTTCATTCCTTTATGGCTGAATAATATTCCATTGTATGGCTGTAACACATCTTATTTATCCATTCATTGGTTGGTGGATATTTTGGTCATTTCCAATTAACAATGCTGCTCTGAACATTCATGTACAAGTTTTTCTTTGGACTATGTTTTTTATTTCTCTGAGTTGTATCCCTAAAAGTGGGAGAAACTTTGAGACTTTCCAAAATGGGTGCACCATTTTACATTGCTACCAGCACTGCATGAGAGTTCCAGTTTCTTCACATCTTCACCAAAACTTATTACCTGTCTTTTTTATTATAGTTATCCCAGTAGTTTTGATTTGCATTTTCCTGATAGTTAATGATGCTAAGCATCTTTTCATGTGCTTATCGGTCATTTGTATATCTTCTCCGGAGAAACATCGATTAAGATCTCTTGCACATGTTTTAGTTGGGTTATTTTTCTTTTTATTATTGGGTTTTAAGAATTCTTTGTATAGTCTAGATCAGGGGTGGGCAAACTTTTTGACTCGAGGGCCACAATGGGTTCTTAAACTGGACCGGAGGGCCGGAACAAAAGCATGGATGGAGTGTTTGTGTGAACTAATATAAATTCAAAGTAAACATCGTTACATAAAAGGGTACAGTCTTTTTTTTTTTTAGTTTTATTCATTTCAAATGGGCCGGATCCAGCCCGCGGGCCGTAGTTTGCCCACGGCTGGTCTAGATCCAAGACCCTTGTCACATATAGGATTTGCAAATATTTTCTCCAAGTCTATGAGTTATCTTTTCACTTTCTTAATGATATTCATTGAAACACAAAAGTTTTCAGTTTTTATAAAGTCTAACTTTTCTTTTGTTGCTTGTACTTTTACTGTCATATTTAAGAAACCATTGCCTAATAATACAAGATCACAAAGCTTTACTCCTGTGTTTTCTTCTATGAGTTTAATAGTTTTCGCTCTTAAATCTCAATCTTTGATACAGTTTGAGTTAATTTTTTTGTATGTTGTGAGGTAGGGGTCCAGTTTCATTCTTTTGCATGTGGATATCCAGTTGTCTCAGCTCACTGGTTGAAAGGACTATTCTTTCTCCCCAATTAATGGTTTTTGGGCACCCTTGTCAAAAATTGATTGACCATAAGTGTGAGGGTCTAATTCTAGGCACTCAGTTCTATTCCATTGATCTGTATGTCTATCCTTATGCCACTACCACACTGTCTTGATAATTGCAGCTTTGTAAGTTTTGAAATCTGGAATTGTGAATCTCCTAGTTTTGTTACATTTTTCTAAATTGTTTGGCTGTTCTGGACACACAACAGGTTCTTCAGACACACTTATTGCTTAGTCACTTGCTTTCTTATTTCCTTGATGGACCAGCGAGCCTATGAAAGCCCAGCTGGCCTTCATAGTTGGTTGAAAAATTTCTCTCCTTACTCTTCAACCTCCTTGTGAAGGGGATCTGGACTGTTCTGGCTGAGCTGTCTTAGTCCAGGACAAGGTAGTAAAAGAGGGAATGTGATGGGATGAATCTGGCCCCTTGAACACGAGACTTAAATCCAACTAATCATCTTCCCACCCCCTTCCCAGCTTTCCTTCCCCTTTCCTCCTCATCTTGCAGGGTTGGTGTTTGGCTGGTTATAATTCCATCTGGATCCACTTTCAGCCAATGCACCACTTCTCCTCTTGTACCTCTGTTACTCCTATCACTCTCCTGCCACTGCCTAAGCATGATTCATGGCCAAATGGTGCAGGAGGGATGATCTCTGTCCTGGCAGGTGTGCTGTCTGGCCTTCCTTGTGGCATATCTGGTCAGCTGCACGTGTCCTTGATGGACCTAATAGCAGGGTTACCTGAGCTGCAGGCACTGATTTTGCTGGTACGTGAAAGTGTTGTCTCCCCTGTGGGGCTTTCAGCCCTTGCCTTAAGGAGACAATAAAAAAGAAGGAGTCAGAGGGCAGATCTTCTAGAAAGCTTTCAAGATAAGCTGACCTGCTGCTGGTGCCACAATACCTAGGACTTATAACTTTTACCTTTCCCCCCCTCAAAACATAGCCCTCAGCTGGGAGCTTTTTAAATGACTAAAAGTGATAAAACCAAGTCTGACTTCATCTCTATAGGGTCCAGGGAGTGTTTCTCCATTGCCTCCCTGCAGGTTAGGGGCAGCCTGTGCACCCAGGTCAACTTGACCCAGTGCCACCATTACTGACTGTGTGGACTGGACCTGTTTACCGAACCGTTATGTGCATAGCTTCCTCATTTGTTCACTAGGGATACTTCCCTCAAGGTGGTGGGAGCAATTAGGGTTCAATAGAAGGAAAGTGTTTGTTATCCTATCTAATAAAGAGGGAATATGCTAATTGACCCTCACACCGTCATAAAGATGGCAGTGCCCACAGCCAATAAGGGGGGAATATGCTAATTGACTGCCACACCCTCAAAGATGGCGGCGCCCACAGCCAATAAGGAGGGAATATGCAAATTGACTACCATGCCCTCAAAGATGGTGGTGCCCACAGCCAATATGGAGGGAATATGTGAATTGACTGCCATGCCCTCAAAGATGGCGGTGCCCACAGCCAATAAGGAGGGAATATGCAGATTGACTACCATGCCCTCAAAGATGGCAGTGCCCACAGCCACAGATGGTGGCGTCCAGTCCCCTCAGCCCCACCAGGACCCGGCCACTCTGTGCACCCACCTCCAGAGTCCCCCGGTCCCCTCAGCCCCCCAGCTGCCCAGGGCCAGCCTGAGGCGCAGGATCTCAGAGCCATAAACTGGAATGTTCTGAGCACCTGCTCTGTGTTTAATCTGGTACTGCTCTTCATGTGACTGTTTAATTCTGAGGTTTGAAAGATGCCAATTAATTCTACCTCCTCCCCAAACAAGTTCTAAACCAGGTGAGAACTATAGGTAGAGCTAAAAACAGGGATTGTATTATAGGTGAAGGCTGGGTCAACACCTGGCTCAGACTTACAGCCAGAATGCACCTTCATACACACCTCTATTTCTGTTTCCCAGTTTAACTCCTGGTTCCGGGCTGCAGAGCCAGCTGTCTGGGGAGCAGGGGCACTAAGGGAAAGGTGTCCTGGGGGTTGAGTCGAGGCTCTGAAGGTGGTAACATCAGTCCCTTGGCTGCTTCCTGAGTCAAGGTGCTGCTCCAAGTGCTCTAAGTAATCCTGGCCCTGCTTATCTCACCATAGAGACGGTGAGATCTCTGGAATGTTTTGCTAATCTCCAAATCCATGTTCTGCATACACCATGAAACTTGTCCATTTCATTTTTTTTTTTATAGCCACTTACTGGTAAAGCTCTGTAACTATACACAGTCACAGTGTATTAACCTGTCTGAGCCCTGGATTCCTCACCTGTGAAGTATGGTCATACCCAACCCATAGGATGTTGAAGGACTGGAGAGACAGTACTTAGTCAGGACCCAGCACATGATAGGCTCTCATAATAGGTTTCAGGCTGGTCCTACACCATGGGGAACTCGGCCTTCCATTCCAGACGCTGAGCCAAATGAGCTGTGGGCTGGAATTGGAAATGTGAGGCCAAATGGTCTGTGAGCTGGAGCTGGAAATGTGGATTTGGGAAAGACAAGGTCTCAACAAAAGTGTGTTATTGAAAGACATGCACCGGTGCATGGATGGATCTACAGAGGTTCATTGGGTGGTGGGGTTCCAGTCCCATGTTTCAGACCTCCTCCAGGTTGGGGGTAGAAGGGGCAAGGTTGTTTGTGGAAGTGTCAACACCCTGAGCCTCCCTTCAAACCCATATTTAGGAATCTCAGGCAAGATGGTGAAGTAAGCAATGGTTTCCCCAAGGCATCCACTTCCTCTTTCAACAGCCTTTACCCAGCCAGCAAGGAAGACGAGTGTCTGAAAGACGAAGTCACTATGAGACCAGCCAGCAAAATCTGAGCTAATCCCAGCCCACCACCTGCTGTTGTACAGCTTGTGAACTGTAACACAATAGTTTTTGCATTTTTAGATGGTTGGGGAAAATCAAAAGAAGAATATTTTGTGACATGAACATTACATGAAATTCAAATTTTATTGGGACATAAAGTTTTATTGGAACACAGCCACAACCATTTGTTTACATATTGTCTATGGCTACTTTCAGCAAAATTGAGTAGTTGTGACAGTGTGAAATATTTACTGTCTGGCCCTAGCTGGTTTGGCTCAGTGATTAGAGCGACAGCCTAGGGACCGAAGGGTCCCTGGTTCGATTCTGGTCAAGGGCACATACCTTGGTTGCAGGCTCCTCCCCAGCCCGGGCCCTGGTTGGGGCTCATGCAGGAAGCAACCAATCAATGAATTTCTCTCATATCGACATTTCTCTCTCTCTTTCACTCTCTCTCTCTAAAAAAAAAAAAAAATTAGTTGGAAAAATATCCTTGGGTGAGATATTTTATACACACACACACACACACACACACACACACACACTGGCCTTTTAAGAACAAGTTCTCTGATTCCCTGCTCTAAGATGTTAGAGGTTCTCTGTGTATGTACCCAGTGGGATTTGCTGCTGTAGAAAGGAGCAAACCAATGGAATTTGGGCATGTGGCAGGCCTGCAGAGGGGACACTGGGTGGGAAGCTTTCCTGATAACCTTCCAGTTACACTAAGCAGGCTAAGGGGAGCTAAACGTCTAGTCCTACAGGTGTGCTTGCTCCTGTCCACACTGAGAGACTAGCTGTGTAGACAGCAGGACCCAGAAGAGGGTTGACAATCTTTAGTGAGCCTATCCCACCAGCCTCCCTGCCAGGCTGGTGGCATTGGTGTTGTTACCTGAGGCCCTTCATGTCCCCAGAATCCCACAGAGCCTCCCGGGGTTGGCCCTGAGCAGCACACTCATTTCTCACCTCTCTTGTTTCCACAGAATTTGCCTTCTGCCAGGTGGATGCCTCCATCGCACTGGATATGGCCCTGGTTGTGCTGTGTGACCTGCTCCAGCAGTGGAACCAGCTAGCTCCTGCACTCCCAGTCCTGCTGGGATGGCTGTTGGGAGAGGGCGATGACCTCATGGTCTGTGTGGAGAGCGAGCATCAGGTAGTCCTGGGGTCTTGGGGAAGTGGAGGTGAGGTGGGAGTGTCCTAAACCCACAGGATACAGCACTTACAGGTTAACGCGGCCTAACACGACTGCTGAAACGTGCTTCTGAATGCTCAGAAACTTTCCAGATGACCATGGCAGCCTGCTGGGCACTGCTGGGGCAGCTCTCGTGCTGGCTTTTGGGGTTCGGGTCTATGGGGAGAGAGGACTTTTTTAAAAGAGGCTCCTTGGAAGTTGAGAGTTGAATTATGGAGAATTGTATTAGTCAACAATGGAGGAGCCAGAGGCTCCATGTGGTGAGGTCTGAAGGTGAAACATTTCCAGAGAATCGGGGTCCTTCCAGGGTATTTGCTAATTGAAGAAAACTATTAGCCCCTTCAGGCGGGGGACTAGTCCACATACAGGAAAACCAAGACTAAGACAAGCAGCAAAAGCATCTTCACAACTTCCTAGCCACAGTGTCTGACTCAGATGGCCTTCTTGGCATCACCAGCAGGCTGAGAGTTCAAAAGCAGCTTGTTGATGGGAAATTGAGAAACAAGATAAAGTGTCTGTGATAAAATGGCCTTGAAAATACCCGACATTATAAAAATTTAATTTCATACTCAGAGACTAGGTAGTGTCTCGTGTTTGGTAGTTTGCTCTTTGTTCTGCTGCCGAGAGTTCCCTTCCTCCCTCCTCTCTGGTTTCTAGATGCACCTTTATGTGTAGGGCCCACCCCCATATCCAGGTCCCCTTTTCAGCACCAGGCCCCCAAAATATCTTGGCTTGGAACCACAAACACATCTTTATCAAAGGTCATGTTAAGTCTGAAGGAAAAAATTCCTCTCCGGTAGAGAAGTACGACGAGTGAAAATAGAAGGTGACCTTCAAGGCTGCAAGTGGTGTGTGTAGCTGGTGTTGACAGGCCAGCGTGGGCCCTCTCGCCGGTGGGGGAGGGGACACGCCTCTTCTGCACCTGGTAGGACGCTGATCTGGACTGGGGTTTGCAAGCATCCCCTGTAAGGTTGACTTTTGGCTTTTCATTTGATTTAGGTGGAAGAAGACTACCTGTTTGAAAAAGCAGAAATCAACTTTTGGGCTGAGACCCTGATCTTTGTGAAATACCTCTACAAGAACCTCTACCATCTCCTCTCCAAGTCCAGCTGGCATCCCCTGAGCCCTGAGAGGCTCTGTCATCTTCAAAGGACAGCGTCAGAGCAGTGCCACCTCCTTTCCCAGCTCTTGAAAGAGCTGCCACCACCTGCTGCGTTCCTGAAGACAGTGGAGTTCACGAGACTGCGCATTCAGGAGGAAAGGACCTTGGCTTGCCTGAGGCTGCTGGCCTTTTTGGAAGGAAAGGAAGGGGAAAACACCCTAGTTCCCAGTGCTGCTGACTCTCCAGCAGAAGCAAATCAGTTAACTCTTCCAGGAACAGAAATGGCTTGTTGAAGAAAGAAGACTTGCTGGAGGGTGAGGGGGGGCGGGGTGGGGTAAAGGTGGATTAGTCCCCACTAAACCTGCAGGAAATATGTTGAACATAAATTCACTTTTTTTTTTTTTTTTGCCCTTCATACCTCCCCGACTTCTGTGAGTCCAGTCTTTCTACAGAGGAGTTTTTCATCAGTTCACTCATTCAAGGCAGCCTGGTTTATTGCAGCTACTGTAGGAAGTGAGGCTACCTCGTTGAATATTTGCTCTGTTCCCAGGTGCAGGCCACCTGTGGGCCTGAATTAGTCTTTTTCATCCCCCCCAGGACCTCTAATGTCCAGCCATAGCCAGCCTGCATTTTCTGTGAATTGACTGCTTAGAATTGGGTTTTGACACATGATTCCCACCTCCCCCCCCTTTTTTTTTTGGCTGGATGTAGGAGCTGGATTCGTTGGCAAACGGCCCATTTGGTCAGAATTCTAAACTTTATTCCATTTTAGCTAAAGCAGAAATATGTTCCAAATGTTGGATGGATCCTGAGAGTATTAAGGATCAACTTCATACAAATATGGTTTTCATTATTGCCCGCATGTGTGAGTCCTGAGTGACCTACACATGCCATTCTAATTATTAAAAGAGCCATTGAGAGCTCCTACCCCAGAAAAAGGTGTTTGTGCTAATACTAGGATACCTGATTTAGCTGCCCAGTGAAAGCATAGCCTCTTGGCTGTTAGAAGGAACCTGGGGAAAGGAGAGCCAGAATAAATGGTGTATTTGATGCCTACACTGTTTACTATCATTTTCTTAGTGACAATAACAAAGGGTTTCTTATTTAGGAGCCAGAAAATACATTGATCCATTTCAGTGATTGAATCTAGCAAGCCTAAGGGTTTTCTTCCTCAGACTCCCAGCAGGTGTCACTCTTGCATACATTTTGCTGCTGGTCCTGTTTTTCATTGACTTGCCATTTTTAATTTATCTCAGAGTAACTGTAACCCTCAGGCAGTTATCTTGAAATTCGTAGCTTGGATGGGTCATAGCCTCATCCACATTCATTTTTCATCCTAGTTATCTGAAAAAGCCATTTCAGCAATCGTACATAAACCTGGCCCAGCTTTTAGGATCTGTAAATATTTTAAAATACTTTTCAGGTGAGCAGTCTCTTAGAATTATATTATTGATGTTTGAGGGTCTGAAGAGGCAGTTTAGAGAAGAGAGAGTTTGATATGGTCATTTCCTACTGCAGAAAGGCTTTTATTTCAGGTATAATTTGTCTCTCTCTGAAAGAAAACCACCTAACACTAAAAATACAGCCACACTAGAAGTATAAAGAAATGGCTCTTTAGGGAGGGAGAAAAGTTGACTTAGTGTCCAAAGTTTTGTCTTAGCGAGAATAGGCGATTCCTTTGCTGGTTTTGCACCATTCAGCTCAAAGTGTGGTGTGTGTTTTTTTGTGATCCTAAATTAATTTCCTGGTTAGGCATCTGTGTGACTCACGTACACTTGATGGGAGGTTGCCAACCTAATATTTCTTTTGTTCTGAGAAGGCCTGGCTGGTGAGAAGTCAGGGAATTGTTGGCATGATGTGCTGATAACCATGGTAGAATATTATGAAACTGGCCCCAGCAAAGTCAAGCATTCCCTTTTTTTCTCCATTTAAAATGAAATACAAGCAGTTGCATAATAAAAAAAATGTTTTACACCAGCAGGGACTCTGTACCAAAGCATGAACTATAGCATGTTTATATGTTATCTACAGAATCCTTCTACCAAGCCTGCAAAGTGGGTGTTTACATAGCTGTTGACTAGGCAGAATTACCCTAGGATTTGATCTTGGCTGGTTGTGGACAGCCTGGAAGGACAGGAGGGACAGATGTGTCACTGGTTTTGTATCTGAAATCCTGTTGCTCACCTCCAATACCAGTGGCTAGGGAAATGGCTATCCTACACTTTCCTGATTCCCAGGGAAACTGTAGAATACCCTACTGTCAGGGCCACCGTCAAATTGTTGTCTTTGGGGTTATTTCAACAAAGAACAAAACAGAACAGCCAGGGTTCTAGGAGCGTCAGCAGCAGCACTACTTTGTGATGTGATTAGCAAAGCCAGCTCTATCTAGGGGCCAGGGAAGGCTGGGTCAGTCATAAGAATGAAACAGTCACCCAAAGGCAATAGTGTGGTAAAGGCGGGGGGAGGGGGTGGTGCGGGGGAGGCTAGAAGAGGTCAATGGGGGGAAAGGGGGACATATGTAATACTTTAAACAATAAAGATTATATATATAAAATGCTAATATGCAAGGAGTCCCCTCGGGAGTTCAATCGCTCACTATGACGTGTGCTGACCACCAGGGGGCGGCATGGAATGAAGGAAGGCCCTGGCAGGCAGCTGGGGAAGGGAGACCCCAGTTGGCAGCTGGAAGGCCCAATCAGTCCTGATGGCCTGCCAGGCCTAGGGACCCTACCCATGCACAAATTTTGTGCACCGGGCCTCTATATGTAAAAAAGAATGAAGCAGTCACCTGTTCTGAGGGCACTATCCTCGAGTCTAAAATTTGGTGCCCCTATTTCTGCATGCATGATTCTGCCCACCGCTAGCCATCTGGCCATAGTCCAGGGGCCTGGCTTCCTCCGTTTTTATGCTATGTAAATTTGCTTTTAATAGGATGGATTTTACTTAACTTTTAAACACCTTTAACAACTCATTTGCACCTTGACAAATGAGTAAATGAGAAATGAGTAAAGCAGGAATTCTTAGTTTCACCAGAAAACTTAAGTACCAAAGAGTCCTTGGTATACAAAAATCATGTGATTTGCCTAAAACCACATGGCTTGGAAGGGGCAGGGTCTGAACTTCAAGCCCTAAGTTTCTGATCCTAAAGTTTTTGCCCTACCCAGACTCTAGTTCCCTGGGTAGGTGTAGAGGAAGTGCAGCACTGGGTACTGCATTCAAGCTGAACTCTAAGGAATCATTTCCCTCCCAGGTTAGCTGAGAGAGGAAATGAGCACCGAATGGAAATGAGGGCAGAAAACATGCGAAATAAGATCAATTCGGGAAGGGGTTGTGGGTCAGGGAGCTTTCTTCCTTGACTTCCAACTTAAGCCCAGTTGCAGCCTAGGCTGCCAGGTGTGCAAAATCATGGGCCCAGCTCCAGCTTTTTGGCAGCATAATTATAGGTAGGAAGTGGCAAGTGTCCTGCAACAGACTCTTATCTGCCCTAGTGGGACTGCCTGCGGCTTTAGCCTCACTGGGCGCTAGAGGGGGTGTCTGCCCCGTACCCGGAGGCAGAACATTTCCCCGGCACAGGCTTTAGGGGTGTGGGGCTGGCGAGAGGAAATGGGGACGAGTCCATCATCCGAGTCCTCGGTGCCCAGCCCTGCCTGGCCGAGGGAAGCTTTAGCCAGAGCCTGGGGCCCACGACGAGCTAAGGCGGGGCGCGGCTCCCCCAGTGGCCAGGGAGGGCTTGGAGGGTGCGCCAGGCCAAGGCTTCGGCGGGCGGGGAGCTTGGCTGGCAGCTACACCCCAACCCCCGGGAGGTCTGGGAAAGGCCGGACTGACCAGGAGACAAACAGGGTGGCGGGAAGTCGCCTCCATGCCTATGCGGCTCTGCCTGCCTTTCCTCCCGTCCTCACAGTAGACTCCCCCGCCCGGGACGCCCCGCGCCACTCCGCGACTTTGGCCCTGGCTCAAGGTCTTGTGATGTGATTAGCAAAGCCAGCGCCTTGTCCTCAGACTCTCGGCCCTGCCCGGGCGTTCAGGCCCTGTTTACTGCAGCCTGGGCGGGGAGCGGGGCGGAGAAACCGGCCCAGGCTCCTCCCGGCGAGACTGCCGCGGCAGTCGCCCGCTGCCGCCCGCGTGGCTGCTCCCGCCCCCACCCCCACCCCCACCCCCACCCCCACCGGGTCTCCACGTGCAGTGGGAACGAAGCCTCCACCCACCAGACTTAGGCCCTGAGCCCACACCCCAACGCGCCTCCCCCGGGCCACAGCACCCTTGACAAACCAGCCGGGCCGCGCCGACGGTTGCAGTATTTTTGCATTTTGCAATTCCCGCGCCCAGTATTAAACCCTGGGTGGGAGATAAAAGCAACGCAATTTCGCCAGCAGGATCGGGCGGGGAAAGACCCGTCCAGGACTGCAAAGCCCCAGCCACGTTCAACGTGCTGGGGCTTTTGAACAGTGCAGCCCCAGGGGAGGAAAGCCACATCTCCCCACCGCCCAGCAGCAGCACCCATCTAGGCCGAGCTCCCGAGCCACCCCGGGCGCCGCCGCCGCCTGCCCCGCCCCGAAGCCTCGCCCCTCCCGAGGAGGAAAAAAATTGGCGGCGGCCAATGGGAGGCCGGAAAGGCCTCTGACGTCTGCTGGCCGGCGGGCAGCCTGTTGCCTGGAGACCCCAGCGGGGTGAGCCTGTCCCCGCCCCCCCCCGGGCCACGGCTTTATAAGGGCGCGAGCTCGCCTGCCCCCGAGTTCCAGCAGTCCGCGAGCTGCCGTCGGCTCCGCGCGGGGGGGCGGGCTGGGCACCCCGGGGCGCGGAGAAGCGCTCTTTGCTTCTCTCCTTTTCCCCCACGCAGCACTCCTGGGCATCCTCAAACCAGTCCACGCTTCTTCCTCTCCCTCCTTTCTCGCTCCTTGCCAACTTTTGGTCCCTCCCCCGCCCCTCTCCCGTTATTCGTCGTGGCTCCAGCCCGGCTGCGCTGCTCCGTAGGTTCCGCCGGACCTCCCAGCCTGCAACTCGGACCATTACAGGATTCAGAAACATGTCGACCACACTTCTGCCCGCCTTCTACGATATCGACTTCTTGTGCAAGGTACGCGGGGGAGCAAGGAGAGAAGAAGGCGGGCAAGCAGGAAGCCCTTCGAGTTTTCAGACTTTGCCTTCTGTCCTCGGCTTTTGGGGAGCCCCTCCCCACCTTGACTTTTTGGGGGTTGGGGGGGAAAAATCCCGAAGTTTGTAGTAGTCGTGCTGGTTGGTGCCTCATGGGCAGGGAGACGGAGCAGGGAGGGAGGAAGGGCAGGAGGGAGCGGCTGTAGCTGTTTAGTTTCTCCCCGGCCGACCGCGGCCACGCTACCCGGGGCTTCCCGGACTGAGTTTGCGCCGCCCAAGCCAGCGGCCCACGGGCTGAGGATCACATGTCGAAACCCAGCACGGCCTGAAGTGGGAGTCCGGCTCCTACCAGCGCGAACTTTTTCGCGTGTATGGGTGGAGGGTGGGGGCCGAGTCGAAATCCGCGAAAAGAAAAAAGAACCAGAAGACTGGCAGTTACTCTGCAACTCGCCCCAACTCTTCCCTCCTTGACCCTTTTTGATCCCTTCCCCGCTCTCCTTTTGGCAGACGGAGAAATCCCTGGCCAACCTCAATCTGAACAACATGCTGGACAAGAAGGCGGTGGGAACGCCCGTGGCCGCCGCCCCCAGCTCGGGCTTTGCGCCGGGCTTCCTCCGACGGCACTCGGCCAGCAACCTGCACGCGCTCGCCCACCCCGCGCCTAACCCCGGCAGCTGCTCGCCCAAGTTCCCGGGCGCGCCTAACGGCAGCAGCTGCGGCGGCGGGGTGGCGGGAAGCCCGGCCTCCTACGGCACCCTCAAGGAGCCGTCGGGGGGCGGCGGCACAGCCCTGCTCAACAAGGAGAACAAATTCCGGGACCGCTCGTTCAGCGAGAACGGCGAACGCAGCCAGCACCTTCTGCACCTGCAGCAGCAGCAGAAGGGGGGCGGCGGCTCCCAGATCAATTCTACTCGCTACAAAACTGAGCTGTGCCGGCCCTTCGAGGAGAGTGGCACGTGCAAGTACGGCGAGAAGTGCCAGTTCGCACACGGCTTCCACGAGCTGCGCAGCCTGACCCGCCACCCCAAGTACAAGACGGAGCTGTGCCGCACCTTCCACACCATTGGCTTCTGCCCCTATGGGCCGCGCTGCCATTTCATCCACAACGCGGATGAGCGGAGGCCCGCGCCGTCGGGGGGCACCTCTGGGGACTTGCGCACCTTCAGTGCGCGCGACGCACTGCACCTGGGCTTCCCTCGGGAGCCGAGGCCCAAGCTGCACCACAGCCTCAGCTTCTCCGGCTTCCCCTCGGGCCACCACCAGCCCCCCGGGGGCCTCGAGTCGCCGCTGCTGCTCGACAGCCCCACGTCCCGTACACCACCGCCACCCTCCTGCTCCTCGGCCTCCTCCTGCTCCTCGTCCTCTTCATCCTGCTCCTCCACCTCTGCGGCCTCCACGCCCTCGGGCGCCCCGACGTGTTGTTCCTCCGCGGCGGCAGCGGCAGCGGCGGCGGCCGCCCTCCTGTACGGTACGGGCGGCGCCGAAGACCTGCTGGCACCCGGCGCTCCATGCGCCGCTTGCTCGTCGGCCTCTTGCGCCAACAACGCCTTCACCTTCGGTCCCGAGCTGACCAGCCTCATCACGCCACTCGCCATCCAGACCCACAACTTCGCCGCCGTGGCCGCCGCCGCCTACTATCGCAGCCAGCAGCAGCAGCAGCAGCAGCAGGGCCTGGTGCCCCCCGCGCAGCCCCCGGCGCCACCCAGCGCGCCCCTCCCCGCCAGCGCCGCCGCGCCGCCCTCGCCGCCCTTCAGCTACCAGCTGCCGCGCCGCCTGTCCGAGTCGCCCGTGTTCGACGCGCCCCCCAGCCCCCCTGACTCGCTGTCGGACCGCGACAGCTACTTGAGCGGCTCCCTGAGCTCCGGTAGCCTCAGCGGCTCCGAGTCCCCCAGCCTGGACCCCGGCCGCCGCCTGCCCATCTTCAGCCGCCTCTCCATCTCCGACGACTGAGGCAAGAGGGCGCCAGTGAGGAGGAAGGGATGGCCACGGCCGGTTCTGGGGTTGTAGGAGGGTGCCCCCCTCCCCCGCCATCTCGCCTGAGCTAGGGGCAGGGGGACACGAGAGTGGGGGGTGGCAAAGGCCACATGCAGACTGCAGGCTGGACCGAGCACTTGGACTCGAACTTGTGTGCCAGGAGGGGCCCCCACCCCTCCCCTTTCGGTTTCCTCTTGTTTGTTTTCTATTATTATTATTATTACCAAGTTTCATTCTTGTTGAGAAAAGAAAAAAAAAGTCAACGAACTTTTTGTATTGATGAACAAAATATTCACAACTTGGGCAGTTGTGATGCGAATTGAACAAAAAAACCAAACACTTAAACTTTTTTTTTTAGGTCTCAGAGGAGTTTGGGACTTTAGGGAAAGAAATCAAGCCAGCACCAGCAGCTACCAACCACCATTCCATATCCTCACTTGAAAAGCATTAGTTACAGTTACAGTCCAGATGTGGGAACTCTTGAAAGAAGTTCCTTATTGTGTTTGTCTCAGACCAGTGTAAACAAACCAGCCAAGCCACCACCTTGTTAAACCTGTAAGCTTTTAAAATTTAATATTTTTGCCAAGAACATGCCTTGATATAGTAGGTTTCATAGGTTCATTTGTTTGTATTTTAACCAAGTGATGTGTGCCTGGAGAAAAGACCTTTGCATTCCAAAGTTTCATACTGGGTTACTGGTTACATTGCCACCACTTACTTAGTGGATGTTTAATTTAGAACCATTTTGTCTGCTCCCTCTGGAAGCCCTGGGCAGAGCTTAGTTTGTAGTTGTTGGGGAATAACTGCTGAATTTTTAGCTGTTTTGAGTTGATTCGCACCACTGCACCACAACTCAATATGAAAGAACTATTTAACTTATTTATTATCTTGTGAAAAGTATACATTGAAAATTTTGTTCATACTGTATTTATCAGGTATGATGGAAAGCAATAGATATATATTCTTTTATTATGTTAAATTATGATTGCCATTATTAATCGGCAAAATGTGGAGTGTATGTTCTTTTCACAGTAATATATGACTTTTGTAACTTCACATGGTTATTTTATTGTAAATGAGTAAAAAAAAATCTTAATTTAAGAGATTGTATGTAATATTTATTTCATTAATTTCTTTACTTGTTTACGTAAATTTTGAAAGATTGAATGATTTCCTTACAGAAATCTACATGCTGTGGAAGTAGTTTAAGAGTTTTCTTAGAATGTATAATGGTTGTAGCCCATCCAGCTATAAAGAAAAAGTGACCACATACTTTGCAGACAGGTTTAAATGTGGCATGCTTTTCTCATTCCATCTTTATAAACCAGTAAAAGATGTTTTTGTTTGCTTATTCCACCAGCTCTACTGTGACATATTCTGCGTATACAGACATGTAGCAATAATGGGGGGTAGTCTCACAGTGCCTTTGGAAGGGCCAGAACTAGCCTTAAATCTTCCTCAACCAAATAAGTATTTTGTCTATTAGTGCTTGAGAGAATTTGAATGTAGGATGGGTTCAACTGCACAAAAGGAAAAGATTTTTACCACTTTTTTTTTTTATATAGATAAAGTGAAGAGGCCACCTCTTAGTGCTAAAGTAATAGTGTGTTATTACATGAATATGCCTTGTTTGATTACAGAAAATTCCAAAACTTGTACTATTTTTCTTCCCATGTAGAAAGGCAGGAATGCTTTCCTGACAGCCAGTGAGGTGAATGAGCAGTAGCTTTAGTTTGTATGTACGTAGGTACAGTTGTGGAGCACTATGTATGTATGTACTCTGGACTACTTGGACAGAAGTAGGTATTTGAATGTAACAAGACAAGTCAACTTGAGTTGTAATATATTTTGGGGAATCAGTTCACTACAGATTGTGACTGTAAACATTGTACTGTAAATGTTTTGTAGTTTTCCCCCAATAAAATTTTTGGGAAAAAAAGGTATTCACGTGTAAGGTAGCTTTTTTTTTTTTTTAAAGGGGAATATATCTAGCTTCCCATCATTTTGTCAGGCCTAGCTCAGGTCTCAGAGGGGTTGGGGGCTAGGATTTAGAGAGCTAGCAGAGTCTGCCCCTCCATATTTTTTATAGTACATTATTTAGCTGAAAAAGTGATTATTTGGACTGTCAAGGGCATTAGTTAACTGTTCCTCTTGGTAATAAGATGCATCCCAGTGTTGGCTGGTGGCAAGGCCAGGCTGGGAGGCCTGAAGGGGCGTGGCCTGCCCGTGAGTCATCAAGTGGGTCACGTGTCTGCAGTGGCAGCTGAAGATTTTTTTTTTTTTTCTGCTGGGACGCCCAGGGAACTAAACTGCTTGCGCGGGGAAAGGAGGGCAGTCTTGCCAGGCTGTGCTAAACTGGTGGTGTGGGGGGTTAGGTCGGGGATTTTCCTGGACTTTGGAAAGCCTGGTTGTGTCCTCCAGAGAGGAGGGAAGATTAAAGAGGTTAAACTTATATCTGGGTAATGTTTGTTTATGCGGACAGCTTCCTCTGGGAGTGAGAGCACACGTGTTCCTTATGCAAATGGTTAGTGTCTGAGATGACCCAGTGGCCAGAAAGCAAATTCAACCCAGGTGTCTGGGAAAAGGAAGGAAAAAACCTACCAGTTTGCTGATTCTCAACATAGTTTAACAAAACCTTAGGTTTTGGGGGGGTGTTCTTTTTTTCCTAAAATCACTTTAAAAATTTTAAAAACGGGTTCATAAATCATGTTTTTTCTTCCTCTTTCTCCACCCCCACACAGTTCAGACACTTTTTCCAAAGTAGGTAAGAGATTTAGCAAGTTAGTTTTCTTATCTACAACAGCTGGGCTCTATCAACCAATACTCTCTCTCCCTGCATAGCCAGCCGCATCCCCTCACTCCCTGCATAGCCAGCCGGATCTTCTGTGTCTCACAGCTGAGCCGGCTGCGGGGGTGGGGGGTAGGGGGTGGGGGTGCAGGGGGAGGGCAGTATGCCGGCCCCACCGGGCTTCAGGCAGCTGTTTCACGTTAACGATGATTGCACTGGTGTTAGCTGGAGCGTTTTGGTGCTTGGCGCACGCTGCCAAAGGGGATGAGGAACAGTTTCAAAGTTCTCCCAGATGCCCGGCCCTTGGCTGAGGGCCTCAGCAGTGGGGGAGGGGAAACCCGAGGCCAAGGAGGGCTCTCCAGCAAGGACCCTGCAGGCTCGCTGGCCTCTTCACCATAAAGAATGTGCAATGGGGAGGAAAAGTCTAAAATGTGGTGCTGTTTAGGCCAGGCTGCGTTTCCAAGGCCTTGCTTCCACTTCATTCCAAAACTTATTTTCCTTAAACAAGTACTTTTGAGCAACTGGAATGTTCGACTAATTTTGGGGGTAAGCCACATTTATTTTTCAAAATTGGTTTGTTTGCAAGCCCAACTGCTAAGATCTGATGTTTTGTATTTTAGACCCAGTGGAGTGTGGAAAGCTTTGGGGGGGAGAGGGGGGATCATTCAGAAATTTCCTCTTGCCACAGATCAATGGAGGGTATGTAGGTCATTGTCTCTGCAGCGGCTGGAATTCACAGCAAACAAAACTCTCTACAATTGCTTGATCACCCTTAGGAAAGTTTTCGTGTAAACTAAAGGAACAAGAAATAACAAATTGCAAGTAAAGACAAGCCAGGATTTCTATCACAGGCTGGGGAGCGGAACTAAAACGGACTGGCTCAAAAACTGTGTTCACTCAAGATAAAATTCTTTTGTAGTTAATTGTGAAAATGAGCCCGTAATGTGTGTTTAGAATGCCCTGATAGGGTGGCATTTCCACCAGCTGTTTGAAAACGAAGGTGTTTTTTAAACAACCCAATTAGTGTGTACCACCTTCTAAATGATTTCAGAGAAGGGATGCATGCGTGGACATATTTTCTCCCACTCGCTCTGTCTGAATCTACTGCTGAGTGCATAAAAGGGGGGTGGGACACACAAAATAACTGTTGAGAAGGCCAAAGCTCTGCACCCACCCACGGGGATAGATGGAGGATTATGAGCTCTGCAGCAGCACAGGAACCCAGATGAAAGGGCCAGGCCTGGGAGGGCCCAAAGCGGTCAGGACTAACAGGCATAGCTCTTGGCTGCAAGTCTGGCCCTGCGCTAGAATGCTCAGTCCTAAGATCCCCAGGCTGGGTGTGTGCAGGCAGGAAGCCCGCTAGAGTGCATTTGAACCTGGAAGGGAACTGTCCCCAGGCGCTCCCTCTTCAGTTTTGCTTGTGGTGACCAGAGTGGGGACAGATGTGACTGCCTTGGAAGTGGAAGTTGGGTCCCTTTCCCTTCCTTGGCCTTGCGAGTTAGTGGGAGCTGACTCGGCCCCTAGAGGGTAAGCCCAGGCCAGTCTTGCCTTCCATCAGGGGCCTGTAGCCACTTTCCGTTGTTACTACCTTATTTAATTGGGTTTGTTTTTTCTTGTTCGCACTCCAGGAGATGTGCAGCCCTGTGGCCGTCCAGGGCAGGTCCAGTTCCATGCTGCTGGCAAGGCCAGGGAGGGAGGGAGCAACAGAGGGAGGGCCAGAGAGGAGGGAGGCCCGGCAGTTGGACAGGCCTGCCCAGGAGGAGCCCTGCGGGAAGGAGGTGGGTGGGGGTCTGGGCTGCTGGAAGCCACAGCACCTCCGGGTCCCACCCCTGGCCTGGGTGTGTTCTTCCAGCCTCTCCCGACAGATTGTGCTGGACCTGGAAAGCCTGTGAGTGTGTATGTGTCTAAGGGTGTCTGCATGCATGGAGGGAGGCCTGTGGGTGTGTGTCCACATGGAGGGCGACGTGTGTGTGTGTGTGTGTGTGTGTGTGTGTGTGTGTGTATGTGTGTGTGTATGGGCCCCTGTCTGTCAAGGTGGGTGTGCACATGTTCGTAAGTATTACCCCGTGCAGGTGCTCAGGGGCCTGGGTGTGTGGTGTTTCCGTGGGGGAGTACTGTGGTATGGGGCTGTCTGTGGGTGTGTGGATCTGTGTGGAGTATGTATGTCTATACGGTGTGTGAGTCTATGGGTGGGTGTGGAAATCTATGTGTGTGAGTATGGGTGTGAGCTTGGGTGTGTCTGTTGCTGACTGTGTGTAGGTGTATGTGTGGATCTGTGTGTGGGTGTGGGTGTGGGTTTGGGTGTGCCTGAAGCTGTGGCTGTGTCTGTGTAGCTAATGCTGTGTGGGTAGGTGTGTGGGTCTGTGGGGTGTGAGGGAGAACCTGTCAGAGTTGCTGTATGTTCGGGTCTGGAGGTGTCTGTGTGTATGGGAGTGTGTCCATGTGGGGGTCAGGGTGTTAACACCTACAGAGGAAAAGCAACCCCTTTTAGCTGGCCTCTTTCAAGCTACAAACTGCTTTCAAAACCCGGAAATGATGGTCAGGCTGTCATCCACTTCCTGCAGGGCGGTGGGCAGAACAGGGCTGATGGGAGGGTGGCAGACAGGCCTCCAGGCCTGCAGGGACCCCCTGACCCACCCTATTGCGGGGCACACCTGCCAGAGACAGGCCTCCTGGGCCTGACTAAAGGGACATATTTAGAAACAGTTCTCTGGTTGGAGGAGGAAGGAGCCCGATTATTTTCATCTGTGCAGAAATAGCTGTCAGATAGGCGTGCTGGTGCCCTGGGGTGAGAGCAGCTCTGAAATAGAAGGGAAGATATTCACTCAGGCAGACAAGAAAACTCCTAAACTCGCTGAAACCGGGTTTAAAATATTTCTCTAAAAATAAGCTTTGTTTTCCTTGTGGATTCCTCTGGCACTTGGGCCCTTGTGTCAGGGTGCTTAGCTGGCCTGGGAAGCCAGGCGGAATTTTTTAAAAAGCAAGTGTTTCCCAGCTGTGGCCTTGGAAAGTTCTCTGTTTTTCATTTATTAAACTCCTAGTTTCCGGCTAATTAAAATGATTTTCAAATAAAACTCCCTGGCCGAGCAATATTTGATGAAACACAGAATTCCCAGTGACCCCCTCTGCAGGAGGCTGGGCTGGCTGTGACCCCCTCCACTGGGCTGGTGCTGGTTTTACTGGGAGGAGCGAAGCCTTTGAAATGCATGCCCAAGGCCTTGTCTTACCAAATCCCACCCCTCCTGTGGTGACGAGTGAGTGGCTGCTTGCAGGGCAGTCTCTGAGCCCTGCCCCACTTGCCAACCTGCTGTTTCTTTCCCTGCTCCCTGGCTATTGAAGATTCAGGTCCAGTTGGGCCATTGTGCCAGGATTTTATTGAGCACCTACTGGATGCAACACGTTGTGAAGATGGAAATGCAGACAGGAGGCATGTATTGCTGAGGGCCAGAGGTGGTGTGATTCAGAGTTGCTGGCAGGTCCCCGTCACTGCCCTGGGATTCAATCCACATATCACAGGGGTGAGATGCTGGGACTGCTGACCTGGCCTTTCATTCATCCCACAGGCAGTTCTTGATCACCTAGTGAAAGCCTGCACAGTGGTAACAGATGAGCTGACCGATGTCATCCCTGCCTTCATGGAGTGTACATAATGTCTTCAAGCTTCATTCATGGTGTAGCTTGAATCAACCTTCTTTCCTTCGTATGGCTGCATAATATTCCATTGTATGGATGTACCACTTTTGGTTTATAGACATTAAAGTTGTTTTCATTTTGGCTGTTGTTGAATGATGCCGCTGTGAACGTCCACGTACAGTTTTTGTGTAAACATACGTTTTCAATTCTTTTGGTTATATACTTAGAAGTAGAATTGCCAGATCACATGGTAATGTTTAACTTTTTGAGGACTTCCATACTATTTTCCAAAGTGATGCACTGATTTTTTAACTATTTAGTGTCTGTTTTCCCTACTCAACCTGACACATGTTTTATGATGTCCACTTAAAAAAACATAACACTTGTTCACAATAGCCAAAAAGTGGAAACTACCCAAATGTTCATCAACAGATGGATAAATAAACAAAATGTGGTATATCCATACAATAGAGTAGTATTTAGTCATAAAAAGGAATGAAGTATTGATTCACATTACAATATGAATGAATCTTAAAAACATTATGTTGCATGAAAGAATCCAGACACAAAAGACTACATATTATGTGAGTCTACTTATATGAAATGTCCAGAATACACAAATCCATGGAGACAAAAAGTGGATTTGTGTTTGACAGGGGCAGGGGATAAAGGGGAATGATGCTAATAGATTCAGTGCTGCTTTTGGGTTGATGAAAATATTCTGGGATTAGATAGTGGTGATTGCCGGGAGCCGGTCCATGCTTGCTGTTTCAAGGGACCTGGCATATATGGCATACTGTTCTTAATATGTTTGCTCACCTTCTTGGCACTATGTGTTTTAACCAAGGTCTCTGAGAAAGGTTGTTTCCCCAGGTAGGGATATTCCCCTGAAGTTAGGGAGGGAATAAAACCTCTTAACTAAGTGCCAGGCAGGTAATTAATCACTTTAACTATGAACAATCATGCTTAAGCTACATAATCTTTACTCCCTGGAATGGAGATAAGAAACGCCCTAACCTTTGGAATAGAGATTGATAGGATTGGAATCAACTGGTATAAATACAGATGTAACAAGACAGAACCTACACACAGAACCTACACACAGAACACACACAGAACCTACACACAGAACCTACACACAGAACCTACACAGAACCTAGAGACAGAAGAACTTCGCTGGAGAGAACATGGCAAAAGATCCTGGACTGAACCTGACTACAGAAATTGGCAAGAGAACCTGACTAGAACCTGGTGACTGAACCTGGCTGGAGAACCTAGCGAGGGAACATGGCTACAGAACCTGGCTGGAGAACCTGGAGAACCTAGCAAGAGAACATGGACACAGAACCTGGCTGGAGATCCTAACCAGAACTTGGCTGGAGATCCAGACCAGAACTTGGCTGGAGATCCTGGCTAGAGATCCTGGCTAGGCTGCTGATCAACTGAACGCTGTCTCCGTGTCATTCCTTCTTCGCCGACTCCATCCACACCTTTGGGGACCCCTGGACCCGCTGGGGTTGGACCCCAGCAGGTGATGGTTGAACAACCTTGTGAATATAGTAAAATTTGTACACTTGTGTGCTTTAATCTGGTGAATTTTATTGTATGTGAATTGTATCTTAATTTTTTTTAAAGTACGCTCACGAATTGAAATCTGGGGTATGAAAGAGAAGGACAGCCCTAGCCACCTTGGCTCAGTGAATAGAGTGTCAGCCTGTGGGCTGAAGGGCCCTGGGTTCGATTCCAGTCAAGGGTACATGCCCAGGTTGCAGGCTTGCTCCCTAGTAGGGGGCCTGCAGGAGGCAGTTGATCAATGATTCTCTTTCATCATTGATGTTTCTATCTCTCTCTCCCTCTCCCTCCCTCTCTGAAATCAATAAAAATATTTTTTAAAAAGAAAGGAAAGAGGATGAGAGAGCCTCCGTCAGGAAAACCGACCTCGCTTAGGGCCTGGGAAGCTTCTAAAGAAGTAGGAAGGGCATAGGGCAAGTAACAGTAAGGCAAGGGCCGGCGAAGAGTTTTCCAAGTAGAAGGAGCAGCTAGGTACTTGCATCGGCAGCACATCCACTAAAATTGAGATGATGCAGATATTAGCATGGCCCCTGCACAAGGATGACATGCAAATTCACGAAGCGTTCCTTATTTTTAGAAGGTTACTAGAATTGGCTGTGGTGATCACTTTGTAAAGTATATAGATGTCAAACAATATTGTTTCTTTGTTGTACACCTGAAACTAATATAATATTGTATGTCAACTATACTTTTTTTCGTTGTTAATCCTCACCTGAGGATATTTTTCCATTGATTTGTAGAGAGAGTGGAAGGGATGGGGAGAGACAGAGAGAGAAACATCAATGTGAGAGAGACTCATCAATTGGTTGCTTCCCACATGCACCCCAACCAGACCAGGGCCGGGGATCGCCTACAACTGAGGTACGTGCCCTTGACCGGATTTGAACCCAGGACCCTTCAGTCCATAGGCTGACACTCTACTGAGCCAAACTGGTTAGGGTGTCAACTATACTTTTTTTTTTTTTTTTAAGGAGCAGCTAGTGCAAAGGCCCTGTGGTTAGAGGGAGCATGGTTCCAGAGAGGAAAGGAAAGATGGCTACAGCACCTGGGGCTGGAGAACAGAGCAAAGTGGCACAGGATGGGGCTGGGGCAGTGGGCTCAACACTCAAGAGACCACTAGCCTGCCCTCTGCCCCCCACCAACTCCTGTATTAGAGCATATTTTTGGTCTGATGATTTCTGCAGTTTGCTTATATTATCCTTTGAAATTTGCTATATTTCAGTTAAACGTTTCCAATTAAATGTTTAAATGAAAAAAATTGTCCTTAGAACACCCCCTAAAAATGTTAACACCCCTGAGAGGGGGACTCATTGGGACCTTTCATCTCAGAGCTCAGTAGGTTCCCCTCAGTGGGAAGACCTGGGGACTCTGGAGTCAGAGGTGGGGAATGGGTCCTATTTGCTGCAGTTACCCACTGGGTGACCTTTGGGCCTCAGTTTCTTCATTAGAAAAATAAAATGGGTTAATCTATTGTTGTCCTTGTTTTTGTTGTAAAGATTAAGTGAGATAATATTGGCCAAATGTTTTGCCCGAGTGCCTAGAGGTGGTAGGTATTCAACAAGAACTAGCTGGCTATTATTAGCATTATGTGTCATCATCTTTCTCTTCCTCTCTGCCCCCAGCTCATGCCCACAGGATTGGAATGCCTTGAAGATCCTCAAAGTGACTCTTTATGGAGCCCCTATTATGCACTAAAGCTTTATGTATGTTAATAACAGCCTTTATATCTACTACACAAGACTGAGGGACTACTACTGCCCCTGTTTCAAAGATAAGGAAACCGAGCTCAGAGAAGTTCTATGCCCCAGGCCAAGCGGCTGGGGAAAGGCTGAATTAGAATTCAAAGGAACCTGAGCTGTTGCTCCTTCAGATCGCCCCAGGCTGCCTCTCTGACTCCTCTCTCCCTGCCTCCCTCCCACACTGTCTGTAAACTCAGATTTCCACATCTGTGCTTTAAAAACACAATTACTTAAGCCATTCTTTGCTCAAAATCCTCACTGAGAATAAAATCTAAAATCTTCGGAAGGCCAACCTATGAACCAGGAGGTCACGATTTGATTCCTGGTCAGGGCACATGCCCCGGTTGCGGGCTCGATCCTCAGTGGGAGGCATGCAGGAGGCAGCTGATTAATAACTCTCATCATTGATGTTTCTCTCTCTCTCTCCCTCTCCCTTCCTCTCTGAAATCACAAAAAAATATTTTTAAAAATATTTTTAAAATAAAATATATAAGAAAACAATATATTTTTAAAAATAAAATCTTAGCAAGCCCTACATTATCTGTAGGACCCAGCAGACCCAGCCTTCCGGCCCCACAGCCCCTTTCCTTTCTGACCTGACTCCTCTTTCCTTCATCCTGCTCCAGCCACACAGGCCTCTTTTCTGTCTCAGGGCCTTTGTACCTGCTGTTTCCTGTCATGCGCTTCTACATGGCCTGTTTCCAATTTTCTGTGAAGTGTCACCTTTTCCGGAGCCACCCAGACCACCCTCTCTAAAACCCAGACCACCCTCTCTAAAACGACAGCCCCATCTGGCATTTCTTCTCCCTCATCCTGCTTATTTTCCCGTCTTTACTGCCTCAGCAACCTGGACAGCAGGTGAGCAGGAGCCCCAGGTGCTCCTCCTCCCAGCTACCATTCCCCAGAGCCAGCGTCTAAAGCACTTCATGCCCCCCCCTGCCCAAAGACCCTGAAGGGTTCCCTCACTCCTTCAATTCCAAGCTTCCAAGCATGCTCTTTGAGGCTCTGCCTCCATGCTCCCCTGGTGTCCCTCTGCCTCCTCAGTCTCAGCTGAATCTTGACCTCACCCGTCCACCCACCCAGCCCCAGCCCCAGCCCCCCAGGGCCCTGTGCAGGCCAGGCCTTTGTAGCAGCACAGAACACATTCCCCTACACCCCTGTCTTCCTCCCTAGCCTGGAACTTCCTTCAAAGTGAGAACCGTCATGTTCCTCTTTGCACACCCAAACCTGCATGGGCCTCAGTAACTGCAAAAACACACACCAGTGAGAGCGGTGCTGCCCTCTCCCATCTGACAGGCGACGCTCAGAGAAACAAAGACATCTGCCCAAGGTCTCCCAGCTCACGAATGGTGGGGCCACGATGCCACCCACGCCCGCACCCCATGCCAGGGCAGAGTGCCCCGGCCGGTCACCAGGGGGAAAATGCACAGCTCTTAGTAGACCCAGCCTCTCGTTGAGTTTTTCCTTTTATTCCAAACTTATGCAGGCTTTTTCTGCATATCCCGGCTGCAGACATTAAATTCCAATATGGACAAATGGGCAAGTCCCTCCCAACCTTCCTCAGTCCCACTCAGCAAAGCTGATCACTTGGTAACCGCTTTGTGTGAGGAGTTCCAGAAACTTGATGGCGCAGCTCTGTCTATAAATATTTACCCACAGGCATTCATGTATGGTTCGGCTCACTGAACGGGCGCGCTGTTCTCCTGCCCTCACTCGCCGCGGTATAGTTCCCGTAGGTGAGGCCCAGTGACGGCTGGGAGCGCTGCATTACTCCACGGCTGTGCGCTTCCCTGTGCACAGACCCCGGGGGAGTGTTCCCACCAGGCGAATCCCTGAGGCAGCACTGCTGAGTGGTGGGGTGGCCCCCATATTTCTGGAGATAATCTGTATTTAAAACCCCTGCAACTGCCCTAGCTGGTTTGGCTCAATGGATAGAGCGTTGGCCCTCGGACTGAAGGGTCCCAAGTTCGATTCCAGTCAAGGGCACGTACCTCTGTTGCAGGCCCTCTGTTGCCTTGGAGATAACCAATCGATGTGTCTCTCTCATTGGTCTTTCTCTGACTGTCTCTTCTCCTCCCTTCCACTCTCTCTAAAAATCAATGGGAAAATATCCTCAGGTGAGGATTAACAAAAAACAACAAAGAAAACCTTGAAGCCCGGCCAGGGGTTGAGCATGGACCTACGTACGAACCAGGAGGTCAAGGTTTGATTCCCAGTTATGTGCTCAATCCCTGGTGGGGGTGTGCAGGAGGCAGCCGATCAATGACTCTCTCTCATCACTGATGTTTCTATCTCTCACTCCCTCTCTGAAATCAATAAACATATTTTAAAAATAAACTTTACAACCACAATAAATAAATAAGTAATAAATAAATAAATAAATAAATAAAACCTTGAGGCCTGCCATCGCAGTAACCCTCCAACAATGTAGCACTAAATGCCCACCCCCTCCAGCTCTCTCGGTGCCTCCGAGACCATTTCCGCCCCAGTTCACGCCCTGTGTGGCTGTTCTGAATTTCTGGAGTCCATGCACCAGGAGCTGCCCCTTGGGGTCTGGTCTTTCTGTCTCCTGTCCTGTACTCCCGTTCTCCTCTGGTGGCTAAACCCCATCTCCCCCACCTTGGGGCTGGTGCCAAAAGTGAGGCTGCCCCAGAGGGCACCTGAGGGCAAGGACGTGGGAAGATTGTGCCACTAATTGTGACTGTTGGTGGGGGCAGCAGAAATCCTCCCGAGACAATAGTGCTGACAGTGGAGCGGGTGAGACTGTGTACCAGCAGGTGCGTCTCTGTGAGTGTGTGTGTGTGTATGTGCAGGAGTGTGAGTGAGCATGTGCCAGTGTATGTGGTGTGTGTGTGTGTGTGTGTGTGTGTGTGTGTGTGTGTGTGTCTTAGGGGCAGTTATGTCAGGCGTTATGTAATGGAGGCACTCCCTGGGGCCAGCAAACCGCAGTGGTGTAACCGCCAGCCGGCTGAGCCACCAGAAGGAAAGGAGGGAAAATGTAAACACGTTCTGGGCCTTTCCCTGGCCCACCACAAGCAGACCCTGGACAGGGCAGCTCTTCCGGTTCCCCATTCCCACCACCTTAAGCCCTGTGGGCCGGCCTGGGAGGAGTGATCATGGAGGCTGAGGAGGCAGGGGTCAAGGGACAGCACCAAGAGGGGAGCCAGCAAGGTCTCCCTGGGTTCTGGGTCCGCAGTGGGCTGTGCACCCCCCGCATGAGGCGTGCTGCCTTTCTCACCCAGAGTTGTCCTCTCTGAAGTGCCTTTGAGGGGCTCCCTTTGTCCCAGAGCCTCCGCCTGGCATAGGAGCCCTTCACCCTGCCGTGAACCTTGTGGCTGGCTGCTCACCTGCTCCCATCCTTGGGTGGCCTCAGGGTGCAAAGGTGCACCTCCGCCCTGCCCCCCACGCCTCATCTGCAGGCCAGCACATGCCTTCCCAGCCAGCTCCCAGCTGCTTAACGCCGCAGCACCTCTTCCGGGAAGCCTCCCCTGCCTGCTCCTTCTTTCTGCGCTGAACTCCTAAGGCGCCTCTGGACATGCAGCCTGACACCTGGCCACGTACAATGGTCCCTTGTTCTCCAGTTGTTCACTTTAGTAATAACGGCCACAATCATGCAGTCCATTCTCTGCCAAACCCAGTCCCTTCAGGTGCCCTCATTATCACATGTCATCCTCCCGCCAACCCCAGAAGGTGGCATTCTTACCGCCATTACATAGCCGAGAACCCAAGCGGAGAGAGATTCAGTGAATTATCCAGCTACACCTGGAAGACTCTGATGGCAGAGCCTGTATTCATAACCTCCCATAGCTAAGCTCCGTCTACCCACATCTCTAAGC